TTTTAAAGACGCAGTAGATGGAGCTAGCTAGCAAACACAGACAAAGTGTGTTCACCCTTTTCCCTTCTTTAATCATCTCATGTTTTTTAGCTCACAGAAGTTGACATTACTGATAACAGGTAGAGAAAATATGTGATGTAGCAAGTAAAATGAGGGTAATATAATTTATGATACAGTCACAGAGTGGCCCCTCTGCAGCCATTGAAGAGAGAGGGCCTTGTGGAGACTGACATGGAGCGAGCTCCAGAACATATTATTAAGGTCAAAGCCAAGTGCAGAGCAAGCTTACTATGTGCTGCCTTTTATTTTACAAAGAACGTTGGGAGGATACACACTCCCTCACTCACATGTGCTTGTGTATGCATGGGTGCTCTGTTGAAAAAGTAAAGGGTGGACCAAGGTTGCCTTGACGAGGGAGACTGGGGTATCAGATGGCGCTTTCTTTTGCCCTGTGTGCCATTTATATAGTTTCATTTGACTGTTATTCTGTACATGTTCCCTATCATTACTCTGTCCAGTGGTATAGTAATGTTAGTGTAAGCTCCCCCAGAGATTTTTCTCCAAACTTGTATCAGCCCAGTTTTTTCAAACATTTTTGACCATTCCCTTAAACAGGAAAGGCATTTTACATTATAAGCCACCATGGACATCCCTAATGAAGTTCCACAAAACCATTTACCCTTACCTCACATGATGGTCACTGTTGGTTTTTATACTAGCCTATTTTTTCCCTCTTAATAATGGTCAGGACCCAGTAAGTTGCTTTTATGATCCACAGTTGGGAAAAATATGCACATTCCTTTTTGTAAAAACAAAACAAAAAATGTTACATAATCATACAATATATGTACATTTTAAAAAGAAAGAGTAGAGCCATGCTTTGCACCATGCCTTGTTTCCACTTACAGACATCTGTTCTCATCCACAAACAGAAATCTACCTTATTCTCTGCACTGGCTGCATAGTTTTGGATCACGTGGGTATGGTTGGAATGATCTTTTTAATCCTCTATGAAAAGACATTCAGGTCATGTCCAACTTTTCCTGGTTACACACAGCACCATAGTGACCATCTTGTGCAGGCTTTTCTGTGGCATGGATTTCTGGGAGTTCGTGTATTAGATTGATGCTACTCATCCTTCACTTTTCAGCTCAGACGCCATTGCCTCCTTGGGGGAGCCCTTCTGCCCACTATATACAGAGTCCATTCCCTGTGTTATATATTCCATGGCTCCCTGGACATCCCCCACAGATGCACAACCTAGGCCCTATTAATAGCTGCTGCTAAATTGTAGAAAATATAAATAATTGGAGCTTGCTTTTTAAAAAATCTTTATTGTTGAAAGTTTGCTTTCTTTTTTAAATCCAGTCTGACAGTCTCTTTCTTTTAATTGGGGTGTTTAAGCATTTACATTTAATGAAATTATTGCTAATGAATGGGTTTACATTTTCTGTTTTGCTTTTGGTTTTCTATATGTCTGTCTTTATTGCTCCTCTGTTGTTTCTCTACTGCCTTTTGTGTTAAATAAATGTATTTTAATGTACTGTTTGGAGTCCTCTTGATTTTTGGCTATTTTTTAGTTATTAAAATATGCATCTTATCAGGATAATTTAGATTAATACTAATAATTCCAATATACCATAGAATCTTTTCTCCACTATAGCTTCATTCTCTTCCCTCCTTTGTACTATTTTCTCATGTATGTTATAAACCCAACAATATATTAATATTATTATTGCTTTACGTAACTTTTGTCTTTAAAGAAGTTGGATAAGAAATAAATTCTAGCCCATAAATTTACCATCTTGGACCCTTCATTCCTCTATATGGCTTCAGATCACCACTTACAGTCATTTCCTTTCAGTCTGAGGACCTCTTTTATTATTTTTTAGGCAGATGTGCTAGCAATGCATTTTCTCAGTCTTTATCGGGAAAATATTTTGCCTTCATTTGTGAAGGGTAGTTTTGCTGGATATAGAATACTTGATTGACAGATTTTCTTCAGTGTTTTGAAAATATCATTCCAGCTGTAACCGGTTTGGCTCAGTGGATAGAGCATTGGCCTGCGGACTGAGGGGTCCCAGGTTCGATTCCAGTCAAGGGCATGTACCTTGGTTGCGGGCACATCCCCAATTGGAGATGTGCAGGGGGCAGCTGATCGATGTCTCTCTCTCATTGATGTTTCTAACTCTCTATCTCTCTCCCTTCCTCTCTGTAAAAAATCAATAAAATACATTTTTTTAAAAAGAAAGAAAATATCATTCCATTCCATTGTTTCAAATGAGAAGTCATCAGTTGGTTATATTGCTACTCTGTGTGTGACGAATCCTTTTTCTATTTATGCTTTCAAGATTTTTATCTTAGTGTTTGACTTTCAGCTGGTTTTCTTGGGGGAGTGGGGGGTGAATGTCTTTGTATTTATCATGCTTGGGGTTTGTTGAGCTTCTTTTATGTGTAGATGAATGTTTTTCATCAAATCTGAGGAGTTTTCAGCTGTTATTTCTTCAAACCTTTCTTCTACCCCATTCTCTCTTCTGAAATTATGATTGCACATATGTTGGTATGCTTTTACTATCTCAAACGTTCCACTGTGGCCAAACTTCCTTGTTCATTGAGCTGGGCATGGGGATGGGAGGAGCCCTAGGCCAAGATGCCTCAGATGTCTCTCTTCTTACCTGAAGTTCAGCAGTTTTTTAAGCATAAATGAATCTTGATTTGTTATATGCCATTAGTCAATTTACAGAGTGCTAAAATGGTTGTTTTTGTCAAATGGTTGTTTTATGCTTTTGGGGTCCAAGATTTGCCAATCTCCTCACTAGGTCATAGTCAGAAGTCCCGCCCCTCTAATATTGCTAAATTGACCTTCAGAAAGGATTTATTTTATTTTTTTTTAATTCTCACCCAAGGATATTTTCTCCATTGATCCTTAGAGAGAGAGTGGAAAGGAGATAGGGGGAGAAGAGAGAGAGAGAGAGAGAGAGAGAGAGAGAGAACACACATCGATGTGAGAGAGACACAATCAACACACGCTCCAGTTGGGGTCAGGGATCAAACCTGCAAACAAAGTACATCCTTTGACCAGAAATCAATCCCATGACTCTTCAGTCTACAGGCTGATGTTCTAACCACTAAGCCAAACTGACCAGGGCAGAAAAGATTTATTGACTTATACTCCAAAGGCATTAATTTTCTCATTAAATACCTCTTATTTGAAACTAGAGGCCTGGTACACGAAATTCGTGCATAGGGATGGGGAGCTCCCTTAGCCCAGCCTGCACCCTCTCCAATCTGGGACCCCTTGGGGGATGTCCAACTGCCTCTAGCAATCTGGGACCACTGGCTCCTAACTGCTCAGCTGCCTGCCTGCCTGATTGCCCCTAACACCTCTGCCTGCCTGCCTGATTGCCCCTAACTGCTCCCCTTCCGGCCTGATTGCTCCTAACTGCTTCCCTGCTGGCCTGATCGCCCCTAGCCGCCTCTGCCTTGCCCCACACCCAGGACCCAGGCTTCCCTCCCTCTGGCCGGTCACAGGCACCCGTGACCCAGGCTTCCCTCTTTCTGGCCAGCTGCAGGCACCCAGAACCCATGCTGGCTTCCCCTGGGCTGGCCGCAGCCGCAGAGGACTGTGGACAGGCGGCTTCACCTGGGCCACAGCTGCAGGCACCTGGAACCGCAGGGCGGGCGGTTTGTCCCTCTCCCGGGCTGCAGGCGCTGGCGCCTGGGACTGCGGGGTGAGTGGCTTGTCCCTCTCCTGGGCCGCAGCCGCAGGCGCTGGCGCCCAGGACCACAGAGCATGCGGCTTGTTCCTCTCCCGGGCCGCAGGCACAGGCACAGGCACAGCCACTGGTGCCCAGGACCGCAGGGTGGGCAGCTTGTCCCTCTCCTGGGCCACAGCCTAGCTGGTCCCCATTCCTCTCTCATGAGCTCATTTGTGCCTGGCTGGTCCCCATTCTTTCTCCCCAGTATTGAGTGTCTGAGCCGTGATGGCATGAGAGCGTGATGGACCATTTGCATATTAGCTCTTTATTATATAAGATGGAACTGGACTTTCATTAAGAAGTTAATTGCCTCCGTGGTATAAGCGGTTGGCTCCGCAAGAATTGGGTCCTAGTCAACAGCATGAGGTTTGTTGTAGCATTAATTCCACAGGTATTCAGCATTTGTGATATTGAGCTATGGTTTGGATTAGGTCAGCTGGAATAGTGTCTGATATATAGTAGATGTCTTTAAAATTAATGAAGAGCTACATCACATATATATTTTAAGTTAAAAACCCCACAAGTTGCCCTAACCAGTTTGGCTCAGTGGATGGAGCGTCAACCTGCGGACTGACGGGTCCCGGGTTCGATTCCGGTCAAGGGCATGTACCTTGGTTGCGGGCCTATCCCCAGTGGGAGGTGTGCAGGAGGCAGCTGATCAATGTTTCCCTCTCATCGATGTTTCTAACTCTCTATCCCTCTCACTTCCTCTCTGTAAAAAATCAATAAAATATATTTTAAAAAAAGATAAATCAGTCTACTTTTAAAAAAAAAAACCACAAGTTACAGTACAATATATTAACATGATCTCAGTTATATAAAAACATAATCCTCACTCCCCGTACCCCCTATTTCTGATTGTGTATATTTTAATGCATAGGAAAAGGTTAAGGCCATAGAGCAAACTGTAAGCTATGGTTGCCTATAGACAGGCAGTCAGGATCCCCACCTTCAGATGTGTAGATTGTCCCTAGGAGGAGGGGAATCTCACAGGGGGTCATCCACCCATAGAGGGCTATGTTTTTAGATTCCCGTAGAGGAACTAAATGTGTTAGAAGGGCATTCCTGGTGGGATTGAGTGCTGTGCAGCAGCTGTACCTTTAGAATTTTCTGCAGCAGCAATGTATTTATGTGTCTCTTGGTTTAATGAACATTTTTATTTCCCAAGAGTACATTTAAACAGATCTGTTTTGTGATGTGGGATAAATTTCATCTCTTAATTCTTTCATTTTTACTTTGCAGTGACATGAACTCAAGGGCTGGGTACCCTGCTCAAGTTTACAAAACTACCAGTGCAGAGACTCCTCAACCTTCACAGCTGGCCCAGTCCAGCTCCTTCCAGCTCTCTGCCTCCATCCCCAAGTCCTTCTTCTCCAAGCAGCCTGTGGGGAATAAACACCCAACAGGGTGGAAGAGAACAGATGAGCCCCCGCCACGGCCACTTCCCTTCACTGACCCAAAGAAGTAAGTGTCTGGTCACCCACTAAGGCAATGCAGGATCAAAGGCTGAGTGTCTCGGGGCCGGGAAGACAGTGACACCTCAGTCACTGATCATCAGGACACTGTGCCAATCCGTACACTGGGAGTACAGCTGTGAACAGGTGCACTGGGGTCCCTGCCCTCAGAGAGCTGACATTTTGGTTGGGGAGACAGAGAATAAATAGGATAACTAAGAAAAGCACACAGTGCCCAACTGGCGTGGCTCAGTGGTTGAGCATCGACCTACACAGGCACCCGTGACCCAGGCTTCCCTCTTTCTGGCCAGCTGCAGGCACCCAGAACCCATGCTGGCTTCCCCTGGGCTGGCCGCAGCCGCAGAGGACTGTGGACAGGCGGCTTCACCTGGGCCACAGCTGCAGGCACCTGGAACCGCAGGGCGGGCGGTTTGTCCCTCTCCCGGGCTGCAGGCGCTGGCGCCTGGGACTGCGGGGTGAGTGGCTTGTCCCTCTCCTGGGCCGCAGCCGCAGGCGCTGGCGCCCAGGACCACAGAGCATGCGGCTTGTTCCTCTCCCGGGCCGCAGGCACAGGCACAGGCACAGCCACTGGTGCCCAGGACCGCAGGGTGGGCAGCTTGTCCCTCTCCTGGGCCACAGCCTAGCTGGTCCCCATTCCTCTCTCATGAGCTCATTTGTGCCTGGCTGGTCCCCATTCTTTCTCCCCAGTATTGAGTGTCTGAGCCGTGATGGCATGAGAGCGTGATAGACCATTTGCATATTAGCTCTTTATTATATAAGATGGAACTGGACTTTCATTAAGAAGTTAATTGCCTCCGTGGTATAAGCGGTTGGCTCCGCAAGAATTGGGTCCTAGTCAACAGCATGAGGTTTGTTGTAGCATTAATTCCACAGGTATTCAGCATTTGTGATATTGAGCTATGGTTTGGATTAGGTCAGCTGGAATAGTGTCTGATATATAGTAGATGTCTTTAAAATTAATGAAGAGCTACATCACATATATATTTTAAGTTAAAAACCCCACAAGTTGCCCTAACCAGTTTGGCTCAGTGGATGGAGCGTCAACCTGCGGACTGACGGGTCCCGGGTTCGATTCCGGTCAAGGGCATGTACCTTGGTTGCGGGCCTATCCCCAGTGGGAGGTGTGCAGGAGGCAGCTGATCAATGTTTCCCTCTCATCGATGTTTCTAACTCTCTATCCCTCTCACTTCCTCTCTGTAAAAAATCAATAAAATATATTTTAAAAAAAGATAAATCAGTCTACTTTTAAAAAAAAAAACCACAAGTTACAGTACAATATATTAACATGATCTCAGTTATATAAAAACATAATCCTCACTCCCCGTACCCCCTATTTCTGATTGTGTATATTTTAATGCATAGGAAAAGGTTAAGGCCATAGAGCAAACTGTAAGCTATGGTTGCCTATAGACAGGCAGTCAGGATCCCCACCTTCAGATGTGTAGATTGTCCCTAGGAGGAGGGGAATCTCACAGGGGGTCATCCACCCATAGAGGGCTATGTTTTTAGATTCCCGTAGAGGAACTAAATGTGTTAGAAGGGCATTCCTGGTGGGATTGAGTGCTGTGCAGCAGCTGTACCTTTAGAATTTTCTGCAGCAGCAATGTATTTATGTGTCTCTTGGTTTAATGAACATTTTTATTTCCCAAGAGTACATTTAAACAGATCTGTTTTGTGATATGGGATAAATTTCATCTCTTAATTCTTTCATTTTTACTTTGCAGTGACATGAACTCAAGGGCTGGGTACCCTGCTCAAGTTTACAAAACTACCAGTGCAGAGACTCCTCAACCTTCACAGCTGGCCCAGTCCAGCTCCTTCCAGCTCTCTGCCTCCATCCCCAAGTCCTTCTTCTCCAAGCAGCCTGTGGGGAATAAACACCCAACAGGGTGGAAGAGAACAGATGAGCCCCCGCCACGGCCACTTCCCTTCACTGACCCAAAGAAGTAAGTGTCTGGTCACCCACTAAGGCAATGCAGGATCAAAGGCTGAGTGTCTCGGGGCCGGGAAGACAGTGACACCTCAGTCACTGATCATCAGGACACTGTGCCAATCCGTACACTGGGAGTACAGCTGTGAACAGGTGCACTGGGGTCCCTGCCCTCAGAGAGCTGACATTTTGGTTGGGGAGACAGAGAATAAATAGGATAACTAAGAAAAGCACACAGTGCCCAACTGGCGTGGCTCAGTGGTTGAGCATCGACCTATGAACCAGATCACGGTTCGATTCCCTGTCAGGGCACATGCCCAAGTTGTGGGCTTGATCCCCATTGGGGGGCATGCAGGAGGCAGCTAATCAGTGATTATGATCATTGATATTTCTATCTCTCTTTCCCTCTCCCTTTCACTCTGAAATCAATAAAAATATTTTTTTTTAAAAGAAAAGCACATAGTAGGTCAGTCAGTGTCTGGATGAGGAACATTCCAAGCAGAGGGAATAGTAACTGCAGAGACCCATGCTTGGTCTGTAGGAGGAAGGCCAGTGGTTGGAACAGCGTGAGCACGTGAGATCAGAGAGACAATGGGGACAGGTCACTGAGGGTCTTGTGACCTGTCTTGGCATCTGCTATAAGTGAGGTGGCACCACGGAAGGGTGTGGAGCAGAGGAGGAACATTATCTAAATTGGGTGTCCTTGGGGCCCTTACCTCTGCAGGTGGGGCAGGGCCTGTGAGGAGCTGCTGTGACAGTCCAGGCAGGAGACAAGGAGGCTGGAACAGGGTGGAGGCCCAGGAGGATAAGGGCTGCTTCAGAATAGATTCTCTGTAGTAGGAGTAGACAGAGTTGTTGGCAGGTCGGCTGTGGTGTGAAAGAAGGCAAGGTAGAGATGATAGCAGCTCTTGTAGCCTTGAACTAAGATGGGACTGAGTAAGGAGCAGGCTTGGGTGGAGCTCCGGAGCTCAGTCCTGGATGGGTTACATTTGCAATGTGCGGAAGACATCGAGGAGGCAGTCGGGGGAGGAGTCTGGAGCTCAGGGAAGAGGTCAGGCTGGAGAGAGAAATGTGGATGTCATCAGCATAAGGTGGAGAAGCTCACCCAGGACCAGATGTAGGTAGAGAAGAGGGAAGGTGTAAGACTAGGCCCAGTGTAAGACTGGGCCTAAGGAGGAGCCCAGGCAAGTGTGGGGTTTGGGGAGCCCAAGAGTGATGGACCGGAAGCTGTCAGATGGATGAACCTGATGCCTGTGTGGGAGTGAGCCTCATGGAGGTGACTGGAGGGTGCAGGAGAGAAGGGTGGAGCAGAATTGGAGGCAGCTGTGTGTGAAGTTCGTGAGGAGAGGAGTATGCAGTTAAGAAAGGGTTTTTGTTTTTTTAAGGTAGGTGGAAATGATGTCTAACATTTATGAAGTCCTCACTGTACGACAGTCTTGGTTCTAAGCTAATGTGTGTCGATTAATTCAGAGAATCTCACAGGATTTCCATGAGGTAGACCTATTGTTCATTCCCAGACTCACACAGCTGGTGAGGGAGGGAGCTTGGCTCGGAGTCTGGGAACCTGGGCCAAGGCTCCTCTTCTTTTGTGTGGGAGCAGACCTGTCTTCCTCTGTTCTGTTTGTAAGGTTGTCCTTCTTAACCTGGATGGAGCCATTCAAATATGTGAATAACACAGAGCTCATAAGGACAAGTGTCAGGAGACAGAAGCCAGGTCCCCGGAGATGGTGGTGGGCAGGCAAGCCTGCTGCAGTCACACTGAGAATCCAGTTCACACACCTAACAGCCATTCAGGCCGCTCTGAAAACTAGGTTCACATCCTCGCTCCCCTGAGTAAAATCCCCAGCAGCTTACCCCTTTCCAGGATTATTGATAAAGTCACACATTTACTGAGGACATAATTTGTACCAGGCAACAGTGCACCATGTGTTTTGCCCAAACTCCCATCCAGACTCTACATGATCTTCCCTTTTGTCCCCTTGCCTTCATGTCCTCTCACTCTCCCCCTCGCTCACTGCCCTCCAGCCACGTTGACCTCTTGCTGCTCCTCAAACTTGCCAAATACAGTGCTGACCTCAGGGCCTTTGCAGGGGCTCTCCAATGCCTGGACACTCTTCCCCCAGGTCTTCTGGCTGGCTCCAGAGGGGCTTAGTCTAATGCCCCCTCCTCAGATGGGCCTTCCCAGCCTTCCATAGCCCCTGCCATCATTCTCACTTTTCTCTGTTCCATTGCCTATTGCCCCACAGGAAAGCAGGTACTACTGTCTTGGTCACTTGTCACCTGCCTGGCACTCTGGGTGCTCCGTCAGAGAAAGTATGAGCCATGCATCTCATTCTCACCTCATCCCCATATGATCCTGTAAGGCCCCCACTTTTCAGGGTGGCCAGAGGGCCAGGCCCTGCTGGCCCTGTTATGTTCTCCACAGTGACAGCTGCTCTGGCCACCCTTCCCCTGCGTGCTGTTCCCTCTGGCTAGGTGCCTCCAACCCCAGCTGACTCACTCCTACCCCCCTGCATTGGTGTGCGAGGTCTGCTGAGACAAATACCACAGAGTGGCTCAACAACAGAAATTTATTTTTCCACAGTTCTGGAGGTTACAAGTCTGAGACCAAGGTGTCTGCAGGGTTGGTTCTTTCTGAGGACCTTGAAGCAAATCTGTTCCACATCTGTCTCTCAGCTTCTGGTGGTTTGCAGGCAATCTGGGACTTCTTGGCTTCTGCCAATTCACCTCAATCTCTGCCTTCATCTTCATACATTGTTCTCCCTGTGTGCATGTCTCTGTCCACATTTCCCCTTTTCATAAGGACACCAATCATATTGGATTAGGGTTCACCTTAATGACCTCATTTTACCTCAATTACCTCTATAAAGACTCTATTTATAAATAAGGTCACATTCTGTGATCCTTGTGTTTAGGACTTCAATATATCTTTTGTGGGGAGACCCATAACACCAGCCCTCAGGTATCAATCTGCACAGACATGCCATACTCGGAGAAGCCCTCCTAACCCCCATCCAGGCTCCTCCCTCCTGCTGACCTCATGGTGAAGGTCCCAGGGC